GTAAACTAGACCAGGAATTGTGCTCGCCTTCTTCCCTTTAATGAGAGGCACTGGCCAAGAGCACTTCCAACTACATAATAAGCAGTGAGTTAAGATGACAGGAAGCAAAGGAAATCCTAAACCAAGTACCACCTTAAATACTAGAAAAATCACGTTTCATGATTTATCTTTCTCCTATTCTGAAAAATTATTATTAGGACCTAGGAGATTTAGGGTGACAGTTATAAAATTAATGAAGGCTTTGGAGAATGGCAGTGGCCCAAGGACTCAGATGTTTTATAATCCTTCTCCCTCGTTAACTCTCTTTCCCAGTCCCTGATTTCTGAAAGTATCAGAATTTGAAAGCTGAAATATATGCATGACCAGGACATATGTAAGGACTAGTGGACTAGAGTGCCATATAAACAACATTCATGTGGTTCATCTATCTAAGGCAAGAAAATTCAAACTAGTCCAATCTGGGTAATTCACAGTTACACTACCACACGCATTTTAAGAGACATACTGCACCAAATGCAACAGCAAGCATGGTCTGCATCCGGGCATCTTGCAGTGTGCTCAGTAGCCCTTTTTTGCTAAGAAGAGCTCTTCCTGCCAATGTCCAGAACTTAACATGTTTTACTCCCACAGAGACAAACTGGGAATCTGAATCTGGTCGGAATTCTGCCACAAAAATACGTTGGTTGTGACCAGCTCTGCTGGCAATTTTGGCACCTGATAAAAAAGATACAACAAAATTTTCTAGGTTAGTATAAGAACTAAGCTAATTTTTATAGGATCAAACAGTTATTGAAAATATATAGTTCAAAAAATAAATGCTTATAAAAAGAGAGAGCAGGGAATCCCTGGCGGTCCAGTGGTTAGACTCAGCACTTTCACTGCTGAGGGCCCCCTGATCAGGGAACTAAGATTCCACAACTTGCGCCGGTACGGCCCCCCAAAAAAAGGGAGAGGGCATGTCCCTTGCACTGCTACCTAGCAATCACATGACATACAATTAATAGTGTAGAGGGTCCTTTTTACATATTTTTGCAAGTGATGTGTGATTTATGGAAAGCTTTATTATAATTTAAGGGGCATTTTAGAAACCATATCTTATTTTTTTCTGTGTAGCTCTATGAATTTCACTTTTTTATAATGGCTATGTAACTGAAAAGTTTTGTCCGAAATGTGTTAAAGTAATATTACCCTATTGCCCTTCCATTATCACTTAACGATATAATTCATCGCATTCTTGAGTAAGATCCTCTATAACCAGCCAAATAATAATTAGCAAGACACTTACATGCATAATTTCTTACTGAAAGAACAGTGAATCATTTATAATATTAATAACTTTCATTAGTTTATACTTTGTTTGCAGTTTCACTGGGTTTTGAAAGTGGAACATACCTACAACTGTGTATGGGTATTGAGTAGGGCTTAATAGTGAATAATGGTTTCAATCACCAAGTTAACACAAATATGAAATAGAAAATTCCTATCACCCCATTTTTATTTTTTAAAATTACAAAGAAAAAAATTCCTACCTTCCTGCCATCTCCAAATGGTAATTGTATGTTCTGGGTCTAGCCCCACAGATAGCAGGAGTTTTCCAGTAGCACTGAAACTGACTGAACACACTCCCTTTGAATGGTAGCATCTTAGTATAGATAAAGTCTGCTTGTTCACTGCATCCCAGATGTGGATAGAGGGAGCTGTAGCTAAACAAAGATAAAATCCCAAAGTTGTAATACACCTATTACAAATGTTTCCATTTCTAAGGCTGATGCATACTCATCTCTGAAACACAAGAAAAATATGTACCAAAGAAAGACTGTACTTAATAAAAAATAGCTCAAAACTAAGACTGAATTAAAAAGAAAGAAAAGGGAAGAGAAAGGAAAGGAAGGGAGAAAAATACAGACTACTTCTTCAGGCTACAGTCCAAATTGCACTTTTGAGAAAATAGCATTTAGACAAGCAAATTAGGTAATCACAACTTTAAACAACTTCTCAAAAAATAATGCATGTTTTAGATACACGTTAAATCTTTATATAATTATGTGGAGAAATATAAAAACATTATACACTTATGAAATACCAGGATATATTTATTACCTATGTTATATGAAGGAGAGATAGAAAGTGAACACAAATTGAGAGAGGCAATAGGTAGGAAACCACCTGAATAGATCACAAAGGAAGTCTTCAACTGGATAGGCATATATCTGGTAAAAAACTAAGTTCATATCACTTTATAACACAGTAGTTTTGTTTTTTTTAAACAGGATTTCATGGAAGAAATTAAACTGCTAATCTTTTAAAAAATTACATTTGTTTTTTTTCTTTTTTAGATTTTTAAATTTATCTTGCGCAGCCTGTTTCTAGTGCTTAAAAAGTCTTCCCAGTTCTCTGTATTTCCTAGTTTAAAAAACCATAGCTTTGGACTGTCCTTTTTTCATGAATTGCACCCTATAAAAAGGAATAGGTAAGTCAATTCAGCAGCTAATTCAGTCTCAGAACGTAAGTACTTTTAGTAAAATAAACAAAATATGGAAATGCATTTGCTTCAAATTATAAATTTGATTATAAATTTAATCTCTCCAATGATGGACTCTGCACTTAGCACGAATCCACACTACTCTCCGTGATTGGCAAAGCCCTACGTGACTGACTCCTGCCCCTCTCTAGGTTCATCTCAGAGGCCTTACTGCAGTCACACGGACCCTCCTGTTTCTTGATTCAGCTTTAGGGCCTCCCCAGGAGGGAGTTAACAGAAGCAGGACTGAGGTTACTATCACTAGAATGGCCTGCTTGCTAGTGTGTGAGAACTTGACTTTTGAAATGTTCCCTATGTTGATAAGGTTATTTTGTCCACAGCGGGCACTGAATACCTGCTTTCTTCTGGGACTATGGTATTTTAGTAGTTGTGGCTTTGTGTCTATGTGACCAGCCCCCAGTAAAAACCTTGGTCTCGGAGTCCTCAGTGGGTTTCCCTGGGCAGAAACACTGCACCTGCATTGATATATCTGGCTGCTGGTAGAAGAAGCAGGTTCTGTGTGACCCCTGGAAGAGTGTTTTTTTGCGGTACGTGGGCCTCTCACTGTTGTGGCCTCTCCCGTTGTGGAGCACAGGCTCCGGACGCACAGGCTCAGTGGCCATGGCTCATGGGCCCAGCCGCTCCGCGGCATGTGGGATCTTCCCAGACTGGGGCACGAACCCGTGTCCCCTGCATCGGCAGGCGGACTCTCAACCACTGCGCCACCAGGGAAGCCCTGGAGGAGTGTTTTGGAAGAGACATAGAAAGCCTGTGCCTCTATCCTCTAGGCTCCACCTGATGTGTCTGTCTTCTTCCCTTGCTGATCAGTGTAATAAGCTACTGCACCGTAACTATCTCTGGGTCCTGTGATTCCTTCTAGTGAATCACTGAATGTGTGGGTGGTCGTAGGATTCCCAAACCAGGCCTCAGCCTAGAGCCCCCAGATCACCCTTCAGGTATCACTGTTTTGTATCATTCTTGGCCTAGCTAAATGTTACCACCTCTGAAAAAACACTCTGTTTTGTAGCCATCGCCCTATTTGTTGTTTTTATCACATTTATCACCATCTTAGATCATGTTATTTAGGAAAAAAAGTACTTATTTATTGCCTGTCTCCCTCTAAAGCAGAAGTCAGCAAACTTTCACTGTAAAGGGTCAGGTGAGAGACAAAACTGAAGGTATTATGCAGGTACTTGTGTAATGAAACAAATTCTCACAAAATTTTTATTGATGAAATTCATTGAGTGAAATTTTTTATAATACAGATCTACTAATGAGAATGAAATTTTTTGGGGGGGATAATTCACTTAAGTAGGGTTCAAAATCAGAGTTCTTTATTTTTTAAAAATAATTACAAATGTTCATCTGATAATGATCTATAATAATTTTCAACTTTGAAAATGTCTCACACAGATAGGTACTGTCAAATATGAATATCATCCAAAAGCATATGATTTTTTTTTTTTTTTTTTTTTTTCTCCCAACCCATGAACATGAAATATCTTTTCATTTGTTTTCATCTTCTTTAATATCTTTCATCAATGTTCTATAGTTATCAGTGTACAGATCTTCCACCTCATTAGATACATTTATTCCTAAGTATTTTATTATTTTGGTACTACTGTAAATGAGAATGATTTTTTTTTTTTTTTTTTTTTGCGGTACATAGGCCTCTCACTGTTGTGACCTCTCCCGTTGCGGAGCACAGGCTCCGGACGCGCAGGCTCAGTGGCCATGGCTCACGGGCCCAGCCGTTCCTCGGCATGTGGGATCTTCCCGGACCGGGGCATGAACCCGCATCCCCTGCATCAGCAGGCGGGCTCCCAACCACCGCGCCACCAGGGAAGCCCCAAAAGCATATGATTTTAATTGAGCATATTAATCACTTGGAAGGCATTCAGAAAATTCTATTAAAGTCTTATCTTGATATTTGCATTTTAGCATGTATTACATTGCAGAATAATAACTTTAAATTGAAGGTTAAGGTGGAAGTTCCTCAATTGTACAGTTAAACAGATTTTTTAAATATGGAAATTTCCTCTATGCTTGTATCAAGATCTAAAAAATACTGCTGGAACTGTAACTTGAGCCCAGAAAATACATTTGCTGCAAATCTGTGTGGGAATGGGAATCTCACTTCTCGTCTTAATTTTTGACATATGAGAAGTATAGAGTGATGTTTGGTGTTACTTGTGATTCAAAGATTAGGTGTCATCAAATGACTTTCCTGCAGTGTAAGTTTCACATATAAGCACTGTAACTGAAATTTCAGGTTGTAATTGTAATTTCCCTGTTATTTCAGGTTGAATCATTAAGAAACATTATCAAGTATGCAGCAAAAACTAATATCCAAAGCCACTGAGTTTTCCATAACAGAGACTGAAGGCAGTTCTTCTCACTCAGAAAAATTTCAGTCCTGGCTCTGAGCTACAGAAATTGCCCCCCAAAAAAAACAAACAAAAAAACCCCCAAAATGTTACCACTGCTAAACCACTGAACTGCTGTGGGGATAGGGCAAGTCAGGACTTTCACCTTCTATTTCTAACATAAATTAACAGAACTGATGATGGTTAAGTCTATGAGAGCAAACAAAATTAACTGTTGACTCTATTTCTTTTTTTTTTTTTTTTTGTGGTACGCAGGCCTCTCACTGCTGTGGCCTCTCCCATTGCGGAGCACAGGCTCCGGATGCGCAGGCTCAGCGGCCATGGCTCACGGGCCCAGCCGCTCTGCGGCATGTGGGATCTTCCCGGACCGGGGCACGAACCCGTGTCCCCTGCATTGGCAGGTGGACTCTCAACTACTGCGCCACCAGGGAAGCCCTAACTGTTGACTCTAAATAACAAAATACTGAAGTTCAATTACACATGATAGACTGAAATATTTTCCACAGACCACCTGCTGACAAATAACACAATGAATAGCCATAAATGCCTTAAATGATTATAGAGGCAAACTTCAGTCACTTAAAAGTCTGCACTGATTCCTCAAATAAACAACTGGCAACATTTGTCAACCCATCAAGAGCCAAGGGAAACCATTAAAAATCATCTGCCTTTTTTTGTTTTTGTTTTTAGTGACTACTGATGTTGTTCCCAATGTCCTCAGTTCTTTTAGCAATGGTTTTTGCCAAAAAGCTAAGAGTCTTAAGTTTATTTACTCTGGACACTTGTTCGTTGTAATCAAACATGATTTAATTAACTCACAGTAATAAACAGCTTTTCTTGATTAGCTAACAAATGAGTCATTCAGAACCTTACTTAGGTTGTAGCCACATTTTATTATTTTTTTTGAAGAAATTCTGTTGTGATGAGATATTGTCTTAAAGTTTCTAATTTTTCTGATTTTTGCTTTCCTGTGAACTCGGAATACTGTGATAAAGTTTAGTGTGAAAATGTTGACATATATTGTATTCTTTCAGCACAGCTATAGTATCATTGCATAATAAACACTTTTTACCAACTAATTTCATAACAACATAATCCACACTTCACTGTGCCTTTTGAGTTTGACATTCAAAGTCTATTTTCCTTTCCCCTCTCTTGTTTTGACATGATAGATATACACTGGTTAAAAACCAAAAAAATGGCAGCAATGTGGAGGGACCTAGAGAGTAGCATATTTAGTGAAGTAAGTCAGATAGAGAAAGACAAATACGGTATGACATGACCTATATGTAGAATCTAAAAAACAATACAAACAAATGTATACGTAAAACAGAAACAGACTCACAGACATAGAAAACAAACCAGTGGTTACCTAAGGAGACAGGAAAGAGGGGAGGGGCAAATTAGGGGTATGAGATTAAGAGATACAAACTGCTTTGTATAAAATAGGTAAGGATATATTGTATAGCACAGGGTAATTATAGCCATTATCTTGTAATAACTTTTAGTGGAGTATAAGCTGTAAAAAAATGAATCATAATGCTGTACACCTGAAACTAATATAATGTACATCAACTATACTTCAATAACAAAAAAATGCTGTGGAATAGCAATACACGGAGCACTCAAAACCTGTCAAGTTTTAAAAGAGAATCACTGCAATTTGTAGTGTGCTAAGCAGCAGTGGAAAGCAATGAGAGTGTTGTAAACAGTCTCTGTTGCAACTATTCAACACTGCCATTAAAGCACAAAAGCTGTCATAGATGATATGTAACTGAATGAGCATGGCTGTGTCCAATAAAACTTTATGGATACTGAAATCTGAATTTCATATACTTTTCGTGTTTTGTGAAATTTTATTCTTCCCGTGTTATTTTCCAACTACTTAAATTAATAAAAACTATACTCAATCATGGGCTGTACAAAAACAGGTGCTGGACCAGATTTGGGCTAAGGGCTGTAGTTTGCTAACCCCTGCTCTTGAGTGTAGACCAAGAGAGCAAGGACCTTGCCTGTTGTGTTGAATAAATTTGTAGTTAAATAGTCAAATCACAAAATCATGCTTTACCCTGGAGGAGGGGAGGGAAATGGATACAAATCACATAAATTGGTAGAAATCAAATAAATGTTTTCTTATCAAACTGCTAATTCTTACTATATTATGTAAACTGAAATACAGTTGAAAAAGCCTAGTTATTGTAATATCTAAAAACAACAGGCATGCATTGTTCATCTAACAGCTTTTTAACTTCACAAAGCCATGGTCAAAATCAATAAAAGGGCTTCCCTGGTGGCGCAGTGGTTGAGAGTCCGCCTGCCGATGCAGGGGACACGGGTTCGTGCCCCAGTCTGGGAGGATCCCGCATGCCGCGGAGCGGCTGGGTCCGTGAGCCATGGCCACTGAGCCTGTGCGTCCGGAGCCTGTGCTCCGCAACGGGAGAGGTCACAACAGTGAGAGGGCCGCGTACCGAAAAAAACAAAAAGCAAATCAATAATAAAAAGTTATTTTCAAATCTTTAAATGCTCTGTTGATCTAGTATGTGCAATAATTAAGATGGTTACATAAAAATAATAAATTTTTAAAAATTTTATTTCTAGGCAATAAAATTTATTGATTCATATTTAAAATCAAGTTTTAGCCCCACCTTTATTCTTACCAGCTATGTGATATTGGCGAGTTAATATCTACTATGAAGAATTCTTGTGATGACTTACAACAATGCTGGGCACACTAAGAAGGTCAAAATATATTAGCTTTTTTAAAAAAAACCTTATTATTGCAGATAGGGCTCAGCATCATGACATTAAAATGCTGTATTCTTAATTTTAAAAAAATCCAAAATAGGTTCAAGTATCTTATTACTCTATAAAAATTTGGGCCCTCATTACTTAACAATATGACTAAAATAGAAAATGATTAATTTCCTTACCTGACATGTCTGCTGAATCACCTATAATGGAAATATAGCAGAATAATAATTATCCATAAATACTATAAGCAAAATTTGTAAAAACTCAATTATCATAAAATGATAATTTTAAGTAATTTAAATAATTGTTATATACAAAATTAATTTTATTATGCAAAATTGAGTACACTGTAAGTAAAGCCACTAATTTCAATTATATATGCATATTAACATTCTATGCATATGACCTTTCAATCTTTGGATAAATATTTTCTTTATATATAGTGAGTCACATGAAATTTTAAATATAACAACTTAAAATAATACTGATATGGTTTAAAACTGATCTGACTTTATTTTGGTTTAAAAAATGCCCTGTTAACAGATCCTTTGGTCTTTAATGGATCTCTACATGCAGGGAAGAATTAGATCTAAACCTTCTGAGAGAAATGATGGCAAAAGTTAGCATGTAACTCAAGGGGAAAAAAAAGCTCTTAATTCAGGCCACAAATTAACCCCTTTCTTATTTTTTTTAATTAAACATTTTCTGTATGAGTAAAAGATTACCAAAAAAGAAAACATGAAACTCATTATATTTGCAGTGGAAATATTTATTAACCACAATTTTAGAAGCAATAGTCTATTGTAAGAAAGAAAGCAGAAAAATTTAGCAATCTTTTCAAGATAGATGATTGTTCTGTGCTTTGGTAGAGCTTTATATCCCTATGAAATAATTATTTCAATGACATATGTAGACCTATTGTTTCCTGACCTGGAGCACGAGAGAAAAGGTAATGAAGTACTTGACTCTGCTGAACAGACCAGTCAGGATATACCACTTTTAGTTTTGAACATGCTCTGATAACAACCAAATGATGAGAGGACTTGAAACTATGTCACATGAAGAATGGTTTAAAGACTGAGGGTGTTTGGTTTTGGCGATCAGGCTTATCCCAGAATATCTGCAGGGCCTGGGACAATTAAGAGTACAGATAAAGATCTAAACATCACAGGTCTAAATATTCTGGGTGCCCCAAAATGAGGACCAGTGAATTGCAATGAAAGAGAAACAAACTTTGGTTCTATATGAAGAAGCACTTTATAACAGAGCTTCCTGGGCTTCCCTCGTGGTGCAGTGGTTAAGAATCTGCCTGCCAATGCAGGGTACACGGTTTCGAACCGTGGTCTGGGAATATCCCACATGCCATGGAAAAACTAAGCCCGTGTGCCACAACTACTGAGCCTGCACTCTAGAGCCCACAAGCCACAACTACTGAGTCCATGTGCCACAACTACTGAAGCACGCATGCTTAGAACCCGCACACTGCAACCAAGAGCAGCCCCTGCTCGCCACTCGAGAAAGTGGCGCAACTCGAGAAAGCCTGCGTGCAGCAACAAAGACCCAACACAGCCAAAAATAAATAAATAAAATAAATAAGTTTATTAAAAAAAAAAAAACAGAGCTTCCTAAGGAGAGGTTAGGTTACTCTGTTAGGCATCAAGTGATAATGGGGTTCAAGCACGTGTAGGAGGATCCTTAATCAAATATGTAACAAAGGAAATTCAAACATCTAATGATGGACCGCTAATGATGGATAAAATGATATATTTGGCTCTGAGATTCCAAGAAAAAAGAAAAGTTTGAATGTAACTGGCTAAAATACCACAAAAGCAAATATTTCAGTTCCTCTATGATTTATATGACTTTTTAACAAAGAGAACCATATACATTTTAGAAAGTGTTTTCGTGCTTTGTGGGTTTTAAACAAGCCTGGCAGGCAAAGTACCTACTGATTCAATTTTCTTTAGGTTCAGAAGAGAAAAAGCCTCTTACTCTTTGATCTTCTCTTGAGTCTTTCTTACACTTAATTAGTCATCAGTAAAGAATTTTATGTCTTGTGGAATGGTACAAGTAGGGCAAGGCACAGAACTACATACGTGATCTAAAATCCATCTCTGTACTGGCTGAACTTTGATTTGGAAGGAGAGAGAGGGGGAGATAATTAGCCATTCCACATTCTCTATAGTGTTGCCTTTCAACAAAAGGGAAAGAATACAAATATCAAATCATGCATTTGAAACTAACATAGTATTTTATGTCAATTATATCTCAATTTTAAAAAAGGAAAGAAGTAGAGAAGGTCAAATTTCATGAAAGATTAATTTGTGACAACAGTTCTTAATCAAAAGAGAAAACTATAGCCCTAATATGTTAAACAAAGTTGCTTTATTTATTTATTTATTTATTTTTGCGGTACGTGGGCCTCTCACCATTGTGGCCTCTCCCGTTGCGGAGCACAGGCTCCGGACGCGCAGGCTCAGCGGCCATGGCTCACGGGCCCAGCCGCTCTGCGGCATGTGGGATCTTCTCCGGACCGGGGCACGAACCCGTGTCCCCTGCATCGGCAGGTGGACTCTCAACCACTGCGCCACCAGGGAAGCCCCCAAAGTTGCTTTTTTAAAGGGAGAAAAGGGGAAAGAAAAGGAGAAGGAGCAAAGCTGGGAAATGGAAGAACCATGCCTTCTGGGATTCCATTCATAGAATGTAAATTCCACTAACATAGAGATTTTTGCCTTTTTTTGGAAGCTGCTTATATCCCGAGCACCAAGAACAGTACCTTAAACGTGGCAGATACTCAGTAAATTTGTTGAATAAGTGAACTTAATAAAACTTAACTGATCAATAACTATATGCCAAGAGGCACTAAACATGATGCTTTCATGACCAAAATGGTAACTTGGTCTCTTATTCCTCATGCAAAGTGAAAAGAAGACTTCAATTTCAAAAACTTAGTGTGAAAATGGGCTAGATCTACGTATTTATATTCAAAGATTAGAAAGGCTGGATCAAGAGGCAGAATACAAGGATGTGGAGCTCACCTTCTCCTACAAATACATCAGAACTACATCTATATGTGGAACCCTTCTCACAGAATACCTGCTGCACACCAGCAGATCTCATAAAACCAAAGTTGCAAGAAAGATCACCACGTAACCAGGTAGGATGAAAGAAAAAAAAAAAGAAGAAGAATCAGGACAGGACCTGTGCCCTGGCAGAGAGCAATGAAAGAGGAAAGATTCCCTCACCCTGGGAAGTCTCTTCACTGGTGGTGAGATCAGCTGGGACAGAAAGGGAGCTTCAGAGGCTAGAGGAGAGTAGAGCAGCCGGTTTACAGCAGGCGGAACAGATAGAGACCAATACAGAGGGTCCTGGCCATCTCCCTGCCCTCCCCAGCCTGAGATGCGCATCTGCTGGTGTGTGCGGGGGTGCTGGGCGCTGAAACTTGGGTTTCAGAGGACAGATCTGGGGAGAGGACTGGGGTTGGTTGTGTGGAGACAGCCTGAAGGGGCTGAAGTGTGGTCCAAGCCACAGTCAGGGGTGTGTGCAGGAAGGAGCTTGGGTCTGGCACTGAAGTCCCATTGTTAATGCTCGAGGGGAGGGGCAGGGCCCCTGCCATAGCATCCTCCCATTCTTGGAGTGCTCATGGTGGTGCAGCTCTGCCTCTATGAGCTCTGGGAGAGTGTAAGCACCAGAGGATTGTCCATACTTGGAGGCAGGGCTGAAATCTGAGTGCCCCAGAGGTTGTGGGATCTGTGAATTTAGGCACTTTGCAAACTCAGTGCCCGTGGGACATCCGAGCAGATTACTGGTGATCTCGTGGATGGGGCGGGTCCAGCGATAGTGGCTGTGGGCTTTTCCACAGTCTGGGCTGACTCAGTAGCTCTACGATGGGTCCAGGTGCAAGACTGTGGCAGTCCCGGTACCTGATCTCAGCAGTTCTGCACCAAGGGATCTGCGCTAGTGGCTTTGTGAGCACAGCACCTGAGGGACACCCAGGACAACTGCCTGAATTCCCATGGTTGAGGTGGGGCCGAGGGCAGTGCCAAAACAGTGTACTTTGTGAATCCACACAACGGGTGACAGGCAACATCATAGAGCGCACTTCCTGGTGGACAGCTCCTACAAAGGAATACTCAGTGGCTCCTCTCCCTGCTCCAGCCCTGGCTACCTCACACCGCAGTTCAGAAACGGATCTGGGGGTGTCTACTCCAACAAGTGGGGAGCAGACCTTGCCCCCAACAGGGCTGTGACAAGCACAGACCAAAGAGAAGGGCCCATTCAACATCCAGTGCAGGCTCTGGTCACCATAACAACAATTACACCCCCCTATCAACGGGATAATGGCCAACACACACTGAGGAAAGATGTGGCAGGTATCCATACTAAAAACAGCCCTCGCACTAAAAATATTAAACTCATGGAGCATACACAGGGACACTTCCACATAAAAAGAGCCCTTCAGGACCACAGTAGATAACTGTTTCTCTTAAATTCATAAAGTCAGAGAAATATGAGTAAAATGAAGAAGCAGAGGAACCACTCCTGATTTAAAGATCAAGAGAATTCCCCTGAAAGAACAAAGAATGAAGCAGACCTCTCCAGTTTACTAGACCCTGAGTTCAAGAAGGAAGTAATGAAAATACTGAAGGAATGAAGAAGGGCTATTGATAGAAACGCAGATTACTGTAAAAAGCAATTAGAAACTATAAAGAGGAGCCGATTAAAATTAGAAAACTCATCTGCCAAGACAAAAGCTGAGCTAAGGGCAATAAATAGCAAACTGGATAATGCAGAAGACTGAATAATTAATCTGGAAGACAGAATAATGGAAATCATCCAATCAGATCAGCAGACAGAAAGACAAATGAAAAAAACAATGAAAGCAATATACAAGACCTATGGGATAATATAAAGCATCCCAATCTATGCATAAGAGGGATCCCAAGAAGGAGAAGAAAAAGAAAAGGGGATTGAAAATATATCTGAAGAAATTATGGCTGAAAATTTTAGAAGGAAACATATATCCAGGTACAGAAAGCACAGAGGGTCCCAAACAAGATGAACCCAAACAGACCTATACCAAGACATATTATGACTCAAATGGCAAAAGTTTAAGACATAGGGAGGATTCTAAAGGCAGCAAGAGAAAATAAAGAGTAAATGACAAGGGGACACCCGTAAGGCTCTCAGCTGATTTCTC